CTCTATAACTGAAACTGACGGGCTAAAGGATGTACAAACACAAGAGGTGGATGTGAATGCCAGCTGTGGTGTGTGTGGAGGAGTGGGGCCTGGGGAAGAACATTTGGAGGAGGGATAAGGAGACAGCATTGTTGAGACAGGGAGGTAGTGTTGTTATATTTTGATCAACTCGATCGGGGAGAAATGTTCACATATTAAAATGATCACCTTGTAAGCTAAATAATGTGATTGAATGTATTAATGTAAATAAAAATAAATAAATAAATAAATAAATAAATAAAAAGTTAGCTTTTATCCTCCTTTGTATACGACAGCCTTCTTGTCACCCCCAAGGGAAGAACTCAGAGAGCAACGACCAATACCCGACAAGGACGGTGCAGAGGATGGAGAGATCCTGGATCGCTGGTATCGCTATGGAGCTGGTGCATTAACCAGCTCTAACGCCTGTTCTCTTGTGAGGAAGAATGATTTAAGGCATGACATGGGATCCCTTTACTCACTCCCTTTACTGAAGAAGCAATCATGGCGAGAAAGAAAACAATTCACGAGACAGAGCTTACTCTCTTCTTCAATGGGATCTTCGGGTAAATGGATTAGTGCTATTTACTAGGAGGAGGAGGAGACATAATCTACAGAGTGTCCTTAGCAGGCTAGTCCTGTCAAGGACTACGATAAATAAACTTGAATGTGTAAATGAATGTAGAATGGCTTTGAGAAAATTATGTAACATGCCTACCCTGCTGTGTAAGATAATAATATTTACAACCACACCTAAAAACCTCATCTATAATTCTACACAGAAATTCCATACCTAATGTGAGAAGAAAGGACAAAGAGTTTGCTTTTATGTCTGCCATCTCTTGAAGCTGTGTCTGAGCTCTGGTTGCCTCTGGACTTCCTAGTAAATCTCAGAGGTGGTAAGTGCTCATGGGTGTGAGCTTGTTTGTCAATCTAATCCCTGTACTGGTCCACCTAGAATTCTTGTTCTGTGAGACAATACATTTTCCTTAATACTAAGGTAAAAAAAATATTTATTTAATTTATCCATTATTGTTATTGTTAATTTTTTTAAGTTTTGCTATAGGGTGTATGTGCTCACCAAAGAGAGACAAAGGAGGGGGGAAGTGAGAAAGCAAACCACCAGGTTTGGGAATTGAACCATGATCAGCCATGTGGGAGTCTAGTAATTTAGCCACTATGCCACCTGCTTGATCCCCAGAATATAATCTCTTAATGCCTTTCAATCTCTTTTATATGGGGATATCCACTAGGACATTCTAGAAGTAGACCATAAACATAACAATTGGATGCCTTTTTTAATTAGCACAGAATTGAGTCCATTGGAGGAAAATACTATAACTAAATGTATTAGCAAGGGATAACACAGGAAGAAGGAGAGTTACACAGATCAGTTACCAATTTTTAAATAACAGCTATGTACATTTGATGTCATCTGTTTCATTTTCCAGGGTCAGATGGGGTGTCGGGCAAATTTTAATTTGTGATCTCTGGTATTTCAGTGATTATTCAGGTAGAACAGTCTTTTTAAAATGATAAATGTAAATCATTAGTCAATTCTTTAAAATTTAGTAGCAAAGAGGACCAGCAGTTAGCGTAATGGCTATGTCGCTGGACTCCCAAGTAGTCGACCACGGTTCGAGTCCTGGACCCGGTGGCTTAAACTCACTCTGGGCGCGTGTGCGTGCGTGCCCAAGATCCCGAGAGGAGAATGGAGGAGAAGGGATTGCGGCATGGCCATCCCCCCTGGGGGGTGATTTCTCGCTTTCTATCTCTCTGTCTCTCTCTGTCTGTCTGGCGAGCACACACGCCCTATAGCGAAAATCCTCTCCCCCCCAAAAAAGAAAAAAAATTAGTAGCAAAGGATTGGTCAGTAGTGCCTGATGCAGTGGAAAAGGATTTTTGCGAGCTGTTCTCAGTACACATAATCACCAGGTTAAAGACTATGTGATGATGTTTCTTCTCTTCACCTTCCAGGAGCACACTGTGGAAACATTGCTCTACAAATTGTGAATTAGCCTTGAAGGCTTTTATAATTCCTGACAGTAAATAAAAAGGTCTCCTTTAATCATAGAAGGTTCATGGAGTTCTTCATCCAGTCTCATTAGTCTGCCAGTAATTATTTCAAAGGATAATAGCTTACTTTTGTCTAAAGAAGTGAATCTGGGGTTAAGCAACACCAACAGTAGAGTACTAGATCAATCACACACAAAACAACCTATTATAATTTTCTAATAAAAGCAGATCCAATTTTTAAAAATATTACTGTTTTAATCATGATTTTTAATTTTTAGAAAAAGTACAATTCCCTTCTAATTTGGCTAAATTTAGTCATACATAAAAATAATTTTTTATCAATTTTATCTTCTGTAAATCCTTTATAACCTTTAGGCATTTAGTATACACTTTTTGTTTCCCACATTGGAACAACCAGTCATTCTATTTTAGAATAAAAACAGCTTGGCACAGCAGGTGGTGTGGTGATTAAAGGTGCTAGATTCCCACATGGCTGACCATAGTTTGAGTCCCAGATCTGGTGGCTTGCTTTCTCGGTTTCCCATTCTCTCCCTCTGGTCAAATTTTAAAATAACAATAATAAATAAATAAATAAATAAATAAATAAATCTTTAGAAAAATAGGATAAAACCATTCTCTTCAAAAACATCTTTACATTCCGTACCTCTATAAAACATGCTTTCTTTCTTTGCATAAGGTTGTTTCTCTTCCTATGTCTAATTTTAATTACCACATATTAGGATGGATTACTTATATTAATTAGAATTATTATTTGGAGATATAAAAAGAGCCCCTAGTGAGCAAACACAGTTTCAGAATATTATTTTAATGTCTTGTGACAGAAGTTCACAAGAGGGCCTGTAGGTTTTAATCATAAAAAAGGCTGAAGCTCTGGGTGAGGGTTGCCCCTCAGTATTATTTTTAGAGGATGAACTGCCCATAACATCATATTCAAGATGAAAGTTTTCTTTCGACCACATCAAGTACATACCTAGACAAAGAATTTCCTTCCTAAATGAGGAGCCTGCAACAAAGGACATTGAAATGAAGTTCCAGAACCTCAACCAAAAGGAGGGAATAGATGCCATGAAGTTTAAAAGGACTAGGTACCATGATCCAAGGCCACAGAGAAAAGGATGAAGCCCAGAGTCTTTTGCAGGTGTCTTACTTGCATCTACAGCAATGATGAAGGTAAAAAGTCATTTGAATCCCACAACTCTGACACATATGTTATCAACCAATTTCAAATTCTGAATTTGTAAAGAAAAAGCTTTATATGAGGGTCTTGGAGATTACAATTTGAGAAGAACAAATTTGGAGAGAACAGAAAGAATATTCTGACTATGTGAGGGAAAACCAGAGATAATACAGGCAGAAAGCTCTAAATCATTACTAGATAATTAAAATCATTTGACCAGAGGAAAGCAGAGCTATGGGACTAGTGGAAGGCAAGGGGAGACTGTATCTAGGCAACAAACATGTTCATAAACCAAGAGTTCAATAACATCCTGACATAATTTGAGCTTCTGGATACAATGTAATTATCTGGTCATTTCAAATCCTTTGGGGGTCAAAGGATATCAGTAACCAAAGTTCACATTTACAGACAATTATAGAATTGTTTGTAAGACCTACTTCTTTAATGGCCTCTTGACTCCGTTTTGAAAAGGAATCTCTTGCTATTTCTCTTTATCTAGGAAATAGAGCCATATAAAAGGAGATGCTCTTTTTTATAATTAGATTTTTATTATAAAATCTGAACTGCCAAATTAGCATTTTTCCACCAACTCTGGGAGCAGAAACCTTCACAGGCTTCATGATCTTTTGCTCAGGTGCTGCCTTTGCGGAGCCTTAGCAGCAGCCATTGCTGTCTTTTTAGATGCTTAGTTAGTCTTTTTTCCTTCCTTAGCAGCCCTGATAGCTTGCTCTTGCAGAGCCTTTCTAACTTCAGGTTTTCAGTTCTTCTCCGCCATGATTACCAGCAAGAAATGCACTGGTGATAGCCCTCTGGAATTTGGTTGCATGGTGGGTCCTTTTCTTTAGAATTTCTTCTGACTGTCCCTTTATGTGCTTTTTTCTGTAGAGAACAGTCCAGTCTACCTGCCTAGGATTCCTCTTGGAAAGGAAGGCTGACTCGCATTTTGCATTAAGAAATTGGAAAACCTTCCAGTTGGACCTAGCTAGTGCCTCCAGTATCCGAGGTAGATCTTGTACCAGCTGAAATTGCACAGCTTGACCTTCATGGCGGTGGCTCCCGGGGAAGAGGTAAGATGGCAAAGAAGCAAAAGCAGATGTTCTTATGTTAAATCCTGTTCTGTGACTAAGATGGCCAAAGCTCTGCAGCCATCTTAAACAATGAGGAAGCCTTGAGCATGGAAGCCTCATACTCAGGATGCTAAAACAAAATCTGATCCTAGATCGAAGGAATTCACAACTTTGCCTCTAAATTGTGTGAGAAAAAGTGTATGAGAGCTACACTAATTATAAGCTTTATTTTTTTTCACTGGATCATTCTTTTCTCTAAGAGATGTCATTATTAATTGTATTTATTATTTTCTACTTGAAACAAGTATGTGAAAACCTAAGCTGTGAACTAAAATCTTGAAAACGTGCTGAAGTCAATGTAACAGCATTATTCATTAAGTGAATTCTTAAGCTTTATATAGAAGCTAGTCAAGAACAATATCAAGTGGGCTTTTTCTATCAGGACTGAAAAAAATGCAAATATTAACCTCCTCCTCCTTTAATTTGAAGCTTTGTCTAGAGTGGAATTCATTAAAAGATGAAAAAGTAGTTTTAAAGAAATAGTTAAGAATTACTTACTTTTAAGAATTTATTAGGAATAAGTAACTTTTAAAATTTTGGCATAAAACAAAAGAGAATATTTCTTTCTTGTATATCCAGACATCTAAATTAGTATCTCACTTGCCTTGTTTTTAAAATGTAGGCCAAAAATAACACATACATGAGTGTTTCATATTTCCTTTCTTGACATGTTTTGTATTTAAGATGTTAAGATCAGAATCACTTTGGAAAAATTATCAGTTGGTTATTTCTACAACAGGGAAAGGTCTTTGGCATAGTGTCTCCATCTGTCCTTTAACATTGCAATAATTTCTTCTTCAACAGGTATACTCTGTCACTTTGTATTTAAAATGTTTTCAATTTCAGGTGCCAGGAGGATTGACCCCTAGCAAGATTGAAGAACTCACCTTTTGGCTAAAAGACATTGCTTTCGTGAGACTGGTACATGGCGTGGTGGTTAAGGACTTCCACATGGTCGACCACAGTTCGAGTCCTGGACCTGGCGGCTTGCTTTCTTGCTCTCTCTCACTCACTCTCTCTCACTCTGTCCCTCTCTGATCAAAATAAAATAAATAATTAAATAAAGTTAAATAAAATAATTCTTTAAAAATAAAGACATTGCTTTCCTAACACTGTTTATTCTTAACTCTTTGGATTTTCAGTCTGTATAAGAACTATTTTCTGCTATGAATGGCTATTAAACAGTTTTTTTTTTTTTTTTCAAAATATAAGGCCATGTTGCCATAAAAAAATTGTTTTCCTCTAGTACTAGTCTCTTTGTTTTAAGAAGATTCCTGCCCAGTGCTCTGTAGATTGATATTTGTATCTATATTGCATTTAACAGTATTTACTAAAAGCCTTTACATATTCAAATTCTGTTTTGTCAGAAAATGTACTCTTGTATAAAGAGAATAAACATATATGTCAGAGCATTTAACCAAAACAAGTGATACATTTAGCACATTAGCAATTCTTAAAACAGAAAACCAAAGCAGGTATTAATTTTAAAAAGTATCAGATTACAGTTGTAGAACTAAAAATAATGATAAAAGTTAAAAAACTTGCTAGATATTACTTTTTTTTTTTTTTTTTAATATTTTTTTGTACATTTGATGTCATCTGTTTCATTTTCCAGGGTCAGATGGGGTGTCGGGCAAATTTTAATTTGTGATCTCTGGTATTTCAGTGATTATTCAGGTAGAACAGTCTTTTTAAAATGATAAATGTAAATCATTAGTCAATTCTTTAAAATTTAGTAGCAAAGAGGACCAGCAGTTAGCGTAATGGCTATGTCGCTGGACTCCCAAGTAGTCGACCACGGTTCGAGTCCTGGACCCGGTGGCTTAAACTCACTCTGGGCGCGTGTGCGTGCGTGCCCAAGATCCCGAGAGGAGAATGGAGGAGAAGGGATTGCGGCATGGCCATCCCCCCTGGGGGGTGATTTCTCGCTTTCTATCTCTCTGTCTCTCTCTGTCTGTCTGGCGAGCACACACGCCCTATAGCGAAAATCCTCTCCCCCCCAAAAAAGAAAAAAAATTAGTAGCAAAGGATTGGTCAGTAGTGCCTGATGCAGTGGAAAAGGATTTTTGCGAGCTGTTCTCAGTACACATAATCACCAGGTTAAAGACTATGTGATGATGTTTCTTCTCTTCACCTTCCAGGAGCACACTGTGGAAACATTGCTCTACAAATTGTGAATTAGCCTTGAAGGCTTTTATAATTCCTGACAGTAAATAAAAAGGTCTCCTTTAATCATAGAAGGTTCATGGAGTTCTTCATCCAGTCTCATTAGTCTGCCAGTAATTATTTCAAAGGATAATAGCTTACTTTTGTCTAAAGAAGTGAATCTGGGGTTAAGCAACACCAACAGTAGAGTACTAGATCAATCACACACAAAACAACCTATTATAATTTTCTAATAAAAGCAGATCCAATTTTTAAAAATATTACTGTTTTAATCATGATTTTTAATTTTTAGAAAAAGTACAATTCCCTTCTAATTTGGCTAAATTTAGTCATACATAAAAATAATTTTTTATCAATTTTATCTTCTGTAAATCCTTTATAACCTTTAGGCATTTAGTATACACTTTTTGTTTCCCACATTGGAACAACCAGTCATTCTATTTTAGAATAAAAACAGCTTGGCACAGCAGGTGGTGTGGTGATTAAAGGTGCTAGATTCCCACATGGCTGACCATAGTTTGAGTCCCAGATCTGGTGGCTTGCTTTCTCGGTTTCCCATTCTCTCCCTCTGGTCAAATTTTAAAATAACAATAATAAATAAATAAATAAATAAATAAATAAATCTTTAGAAAAATAGGATAAAACCATTCTCTTCAAAAACATCTTTACATTCCGTACCTCTATAAAACATGCTTTCTTTCTTTGCATAAGGTTGTTTCTCTTCCTATGTCTAATTTTAATTACCACATATTAGGATGGATTACTTATATTAATTAGAATTATTATTTGGAGATATAAAAAGAGCCCCTAGTGAGCAAACACAGTTTCAGAATATTATTTTAATGTCTTGTGACAGAAGTTCACAAGAGGGCCTGTAGGTTTTAATCATAAAAAAGGCTGAAGCTCTGGGTGAGGGTTGCCCCTCAGTATTATTTTTAGAGGATGAACTGCCCATAACATCATATTCAAGATGAAAGTTTTCTTTCGACCACATCAAGTACATACCTAGACAAAGAATTTCCTTCCTAAATGAGGAGCCTGCAACAAAGGACATTGAAATGAAGTTCCAGAACCTCAACCAAAAGGAGGGAATAGATGCCATGAAGTTTAAAAGGACTAGGTACCATGATCCAAGGCCACAGAGAAAAGGATGAAGCCCAGAGTCTTTTGCAGGTGTCTTACTTGCATCTACAGCAATGATGAAGGTAAAAAGTCATTTGAATCCCACAACTCTGACACATATGTTATCAACCAATTTCAAATTCTGAATTTGTAAAGAAAAAGCTTTATATGAGGGTCTTGGAGATTACAATTTGAGAAGAACAAATTTGGAGAGAACAGAAAGAATATTCTGACTATGTGAGGGAAAACCAGAGATAATACAGGCAGAAAGCTCTAAATCATTACTAGATAATTAAAATCATTTGACCAGAGGAAAGCAGAGCTATGGGACTAGTGGAAGGCAAGGGGAGACTGTATCTAGGCAACAAACATGTTCATAAACCAAGAGTTCAATAACATCCTGACATAATTTGAGCTTCTGGATACAATGTAATTATCTGGTCATTTCAAATCCTTTGGGGGTCAAAGGATATCAGTAACCAAAGTTCACATTTACAGACAATTATAGAATTGTTTGTAAGACCTACTTCTTTAATGGCCTCTTGACTCCGTTTTGAAAAGGAATCTCTTGCTATTTCTCTTTATCTAGGAAATAGAGCCATATAAAAGGAGATGCTCTTTTTTATAATTAGATTTTTATTATAAAATCTGAACTGCCAAATTAGCATTTTTCCACCAACTCTGGGAGCAGAAACCTTCACAGGCTTCATGATCTTTTGCTCAGGTGCTGCCTTTGCGGAGCCTTAGCAGCAGCCATTGCTGTCTTTTTAGATGCTTAGTTAGTCTTTTTTCCTTCCTTAGCAGCCCTGATAGCTTGCTCTTGCAGAGCCTTTCTAACTTCAGGTTTTCAGTTCTTCTCCGCCATGATTACCAGCAAGAAATGCACTGGTGATAGCCCTCTGGAATTTGGTTGCATGGTGGGTCCTTTTCTTTAGAATTTCTTCTGACTGTCCCTTTATGTGCTTTTTTCTGTAGAGAACAGTCCAGTCTACCTGCCTAGGATTCCTCTTGGAAAGGAAGGCTGACTCGCATTTTGCATTAAGAAATTGGAAAACCTTCCAGTTGGACCTAGCTAGTGCCTCCAGTATCCGAGGTAGATCTTGTACCAGCTGAAATTGCACAGCTTGACCTTCATGGCGGTGGCTCCCGGGGAAGAGGTAAGATGGCAAAGAAGCAAAAGCAGATGTTCTTATGTTAAATCCTGTTCTGTGACTAAGATGGCCAAAGCTCTGCAGCCATCTTAAACAATGAGGAAGCCTTGAGCATGGAAGCCTCATACTCAGGATGCTAAAACAAAATCTGATCCTAGATCGAAGGAATTCACAACTTTGCCTCTAAATTGTGTGAGAAAAAGTGTATGAGAGCTACACTAATTATAAGCTTTATTTTTTTTCACTGGATCATTCTTTTCTCTAAGAGATGTCATTATTAATTGTATTTATTATTTTCTACTTGAAACAAGTATGTGAAAACCTAAGCTGTGAACTAAAATCTTGAAAACGTGCTGAAGTCAATGTAACAGCATTATTCATTAAGTGAATTCTTAAGCTTTATATAGAAGCTAGTCAAGAACAATATCAAGTGGGCTTTTTCTATCAGGACTGAAAAAAATGCAAATATTAACCTCCTCCTCCTTTAATTTGAAGCTTTGTCTAGAGTGGAATTCATTAAAAGATGAAAAAGTAGTTTTAAAGAAATAGTTAAGAATTACTTACTTTTAAGAATTTATTAGGAATAAGTAACTTTTAAAATTTTGGCATAAAACAAAAGAGAATATTTCTTTCTTGTATATCCAGACATCTAAATTAGTATCTCACTTGCCTTGTTTTTAAAATGTAGGCCAAAAATAACACATACATGAGTGTTTCATATTTCCTTTCTTGACATGTTTTGTATTTAAGATGTTAAGATCAGAATCACTTTGGAAAAATTATCAGTTGGTTATTTCTACAACAGGGAAAGGTCTTTGGCATAGTGTCTCCATCTGTCCTTTAACATTGCAATAATTTCTTCTTCAACAGGTATACTCTGTCACTTTGTATTTAAAATGTTTTCAATTTCAGGTGCCAGGAGGATTGACCCCTAGCAAGATTGAAGAACTCACCTTTTGGCTAAAAGACATTGCTTTCGTGAGACTGGTACATGGCGTGGTGGTTAAGGACTTCCACATGGTCGACCACAGTTCGAGTCCTGGACCTGGCGGCTTGCTTTCTTGCTCTCTCTCACTCACTCTCTCTCACTCTGTCCCTCTCTGATCAAAATAAAATAAATAATTAAATAAAGTTAAATAAAATAATTCTTTAAAAATAAAGACATTGCTTTCCTAACACTGTTTATTCTTAACTCTTTGGATTTTCAGTCTGTATAAGAACTATTTTCTGCTATGAATGGCTATTAAACAGTTTTTTTTTTTTTTTCAAAATATAAGGCCATGTTGCCATAAAAAAATTGTTTTCCTCTAGTACTAGTCTCTTTGTTTTAAGAAGATTCCTGCCCAGTGCTCTGTAGATTGATATTTGTATCTATATTGCATTTAACAGTATTTACTAAAAGCCTTTACATATTCAAATTCTGTTTTGTCAGAAAATGTACTCTTGTATAAAGAGAATAAACATATATGTCAGAGCATTTAACCAAAACAAGTGATACATTTAGCACATTAGCAATTCTTAAAACAGAAAACCAAAGC